AGCAAACAGAGCAAAATACGCACAATGTGTATATTTAAGTGAAGAGAATCGGAGTATTCATTATGCTAGTTTTACAACTTGGAAGTTGTGGGGGGAAACTACTTCAGAATGACTCATCCTTTCTGAAACCACAGACGCATTAGTCAAATGGATACAAACGTGTATGTATATATGTGTGTGTTTGTATTTTAATAGCAGGGACATTTATAAAATGCAATGAGTGTATATGCATATGTGTACACACACATATACTGCATTTGTTTTGTAATTTTTAAAAATGTCCTTGCTATTGAAACTGTTACTAATGCTTCTTGAAAATGCCACATTTGGGAGCTATTTCATCCTCTGCAAGACTGCGACCTCCCCCTGCGGAGCCTACCTATCTATCAGTCCTGGCGAGCCAGTCTCCTCTCCTCCTGCCTCTTCAGTTCCTCCTACCTCTCCTCTGTCTCCTTCGGGCTCCGCAGGCTTCTCATGTCCAGGCAACAAGCTCATGCATCCATATCTAATCTCCAACAGTACACACATGCACCCCTCACACACAGACACCACACACAATGCCAGCTCTGAATACCTCACACTCGCGCTATTAAGAAAACAGCTGCGAGTATGCAGAGAGCTGCGCAGGAACCCTGGTGCCTCCCAGCAACAGTGCAGTGAAGATCGGGAAGAGTCAGCGGGTAAAGAACATTCCGGGAAGGGAGAACAGGGCGTGCAAAGGCCTGACCTCAGGGAGATCCAGGAATTTAGAGGCACCCTGAGAAGCCGGAGCAGAGAAGCAAAGGAGAGAGGGGAGCAGGATGAGTCAGAAGGGCCGAGAGCCAGTGGAGCTGGGGCCTTCTCCTGAGGCCTGGGAGCACTGGGAAAGGACGGGGGTCAGTCAGGTGCTCACTGCAGAGGGACGCTGTTCTGAACCGAATGGCTGAGAGGACAGCGTGGTGCAGAGACCTGGCTTCCTGGGCCAGGGAGAGGCAGAGAGAAGCGCTGGAAGGCGGGTGTAAGAAGCGCACCGACAGCACCGACAGGACCGGTTCTGACTGTCTCAGCACAGCTTTGTCGTTCTCTACCTTCTCTCTCTTAAAGGCAGGTGTGGCAGTGGCGTTACCATCAGCACTGAAGTTGAGAAGCATGTACTGAAAGCTCCTTTCGGAAGTTTGTGGGTGGTGGAAGCAAAACGGGCCGCAAACCAGAGAAGGTGCAGCTGAGAGAGGCCTAAGGAGCTGACTAGTGAATGTGTTTAAGTGGCTACGGGAAAGAGCCGCGCAGCAGGCCCGAGTAATGGACAGTGCGGGGCTCCCCACAGGTGGAGGACCTGGGTCCAGAGCCAGGCAGGAGGACTGACCGGCCTCAAACCCCCACACTCCACCACCTGCTGCACAGCTCAACCATTACGGTATCGCTCGACCTGCAAGTTCCTTAAAAACACCCTGTGAAACTCTTACCCAGCTGCCCTCGTCTTTGGGGGCAACACCCAGCTGCCCCCAAAGCTGGAGTCACCCTGGACTCTTTCTTCTCCCTCCTGCCCGACACCCAGCCAAGCCAGCAAGTCCTCCTGTCCTGCCCGTGACCCGCCTTCCAGCCACGCACACAACGCACTGAGTGTCCATACCATGCACGCCCGCCCGCAGGCTGCCAGGCACTGCAGACCGCACGCCGCAGGCCCACCCGCCATGTCTCTAGTCCTTGTCCACCGACTGGGGTTCCAGGGCCCCCCTTGGATCTTGGTTGGCTGTGTGGCTTTACCTGTGGCCCCTCTGCTCCAAATACCAGCCTTCCCTGGTGTAGGTGACCAGACGTTACGTCTCAAATATCTCTAGACTCGGCCTCCACCTCCACAGCCCCTGCCTGGCCATGCTTTCTTCCCTCCCCCGAAGGAAACGGCCAGCCTACGTAATCTTGTCCCCTCAACCCCTCCTGTCCACCAGAATGAC